ATCCCGGCACTGGCGAGGCTGAGGCAGGAGGATCACCATGAGTTTGAGGCCAACCAGGAATATGCACCAACACCCTGTCTCAAAAATTAGTTTATTAGGGCCAGCCAGATACTCATCGGACTAAAGCACCTTCTTAGGCAGAGCACAGTGGCTGGCCTTTGATCTTCAACATGCCACACCGGCCCTGTCCTGGGGACATGCTGAGCTGGCAATTGAGAATGAGCATGGTGGTACAGGCCTGTAATCCCAGCACTTGGGAGGCTGAAAACAGGAGGATCACGATGAGTCTGATCTGTTCAGTGAGACCCTGTAGACTTTGTACTAAATACAAATTAATTAATTAACTAATTAATAGCAAACATCACACCATTGCTTCCAGCACATGCACACGGCGGGGGGGGGGGGACCCAAACCACAGCAGCACCCAGTCTTTGTCTGGACTACACATGGCGCTCTCTCCCCAGTGGCTGTCCTGGAAAAGGGTACCCCAACAGGAGGTGGCTTTCGGAAGCGCCCAGCCCTGTGGTCCCTGACTTCTGTGTCTCACCCAGCACCCGTGTTCAGGTTGTGTAGCACTAAGGGCGTGGCCTCCAAGGACACGCTTCCACCTGCAGCACTTCTACCTTGCCGGGGATTGTAACAAAGTTGCTAGTGGGTGGCTACAACATCTCCTGCTCTAACAAAATCAGCCCATCCAACTTTATGTGGAAACATATTGTCTTCTGTACTTAGGCAAGATCTTATTTCAATGGGGTTTAATACTTGAAACATTTTATCAATCTAGCAACCTCTGACATACATTGTATTCTAAACAAGTAGCCATTTTTCTCAGACACAAAATACTCTTTTAAATTAAAGAGATATTTTATAGATTAGTATACTGAGTACATTGTACAAGAATGTTATTAGAATGTTAATGCTGGTTCCCTATTTATATTTAATAAGTACTTTATGATGACATGAATCACTGAAAAATTAATTTACCATCAATAATACATAAAGTAAAATACTACTTTGCCCTATATTGCTTTTTTATTTTATTTTTGTTGTTATTGTTGTATTTAGGGAAGGATCTACAGGGTGTTCAGGGTCTCACTACTAGATCGAACTCATAGTGATCTGCCTGTTTACAGCCTCCCAAGAGCTGGGATTACAGGGGCGTGCCACACGCCCAGTCTCAACTGCCATCTCAGTGTGCCCTGGGGGCGGGGCTGGCACGGCAGGCTGGGGATGGAACCCCGGCCTCTGCATCTGCTTGCAGGTGCTTTAATCTGCTGAGCTATCTGGCTGGCCCTACACTGCTTTTTTTTTTTAATGCAAGCTTTTTCATACAAACAGTAAGTAAACTCTGTTAAAATTCTGCCACTTGTTACAAGCAAAGTACTTCAAAGAGTTAAATGTAAAGTGCAGAGTACGACTATGCATGTCAGCCCAGAGTGGTGGCTGGCACACACCTGGAACCTCAGCACTCTAGCAGGCTGAGGCAGGAGGACTTCACATTTGAGTCCAGGCCGGACAACCTAGTAAGAACCTGCCTCAAAAGGAAAAAGTTTCAAAAGGGTTAAGAATAAGGGGCTGGGGAGATGGCTCAGTAGGATAAGCGCTTGACTGGCAAATGCAAGGATCTGAGTTCAATCCCCGGTTCTGCCAAAAAAAAAAAAAAAAGGGTTAAGAATGCATTGTAGTGGGAAGACCCTAGGTTCAACCCCCAGTACTGCCCCAAAGTGATTCCGACAGGTCACAAAAAGGACCATCCAACCCAGTTAAATTAGATACAGGAGCCAGAAGATTAACACTATTAGGAAGAACATAGTTTCTAAGGAAGTAAAAGTATAATTGTTTTAGAACAGATCATTGTGTTTGGGAAGATGCCAGTGTTGGCCACTTCGCAGGCTCCTGCTCACAGCGCACGCCTGTGCACTGCACACAGTACCGAGCAACGCGCTGGTGTGGAACTGGGTTTCCGGAGTAAAGGGAGCCTTTTTCTAATCTGTCTTTTGTGGCAGCCACACCCGGGCATGACGCGCTGTGGGCTCTGTAGCTAATACTCTAGATTGATGCAAGACAGCGCTGTGCATGCGAGTCGCTGCTGCGCGTGGGTCGCTGCTGCGTGTGGGTCGCTGCTGCGCGTGGGTCGCTGCTGCGCGTGGGTCGCTGCTGCGTGTGGGTCGCTGCTGCGTGTGGGTCGCTGCTTCTCCAAAGCGCCCCAGGCTGGAAGGTGCAGCCAGGACCCTCTTCTTCCAGGTATCAGCAGGCAGCACTGGGTGTGGACAAGCTCCCGAGAGGTCTGCAGCTCTAGCCAGGCCCTGGGGCCCATGCACTCGGGGACCACGGCTGGTGATGTCCCTCGCTAGCAGCTGGGCATAGCCTGGGATGGCACAAACCTGGCTGTACTCATAGGACTGTACTGCTTCTACAAATGCAGTTTTAAGCGTTAGGCTGGAGTGGAGGTGAAGCGCTCGGTGTCACTGCCGCCTTCCTCTTGTACGAGGAATAACCTGGGAGCTATGGGGGGCAGGCTGTGCCCGCACAGCCTCTGCCTGTGCTCCCTGGGCGTCTCCCTTTGGATGCTTGCCCACTGTGAGACTCTGTAACGTCGGCACCGAGCTGGCGGCTTCCTGGAGTCAGGGCTATGTTTGTACCTACAGGCTCTCCAAGAGCCCCGGGCACTCACTGGCAGCCTCTGGGCTGGGATGGACTGTGGGGCTTCACGGGACTGACTTCCAACTATGGAGCAAAACCTCAATAAACTGTCCTAAATGAAGCCTGTCCGTCTTTAAGTCGCAGCTGTCCTCTTAAGCAAGAAAGTGGCTAAGACAGTAAAATTCAAGGGAATCAAATGCCCCATCCTGGGTATTCACAAGGCACTTGTGGGGGGCCAGGCCGGGAGAGGCTGCCAACCCCAGCTCTGTGGGCCCTTTCGGCGCTGTCTACAGCCACCAACTGAGCACACCCTGTACGTGTGATGCAACCCTGGAGCAATGCCGCGCGCTAGGGAGCTCTCTGGTGAGGGGCAGGGTGAGGGCCAGAGGCCAAGTGGTCCTGAGAGCACACCCACGGTCTTCTGTTTTGTGTGGTTCTGGGGCTCGAACTCAGGGCCTCTGCACCGACCTATGTCCCCATCCCTGTTTCTGTTTTTTATTTCTAGACAGGATCTCACAAAGTAGCAAGTTGTCCAGGCTGGACTTGAACTTGAGTTCCCCTCACCTCGGCTTCCCGGAGTGCTGGGATCACAGATCCCGGCTGTGAGTTCCAGTCTTGAAACTTCTCTCTGCATGTGTGTAGACCTGCGACTGGCTTCTCCAGGGGATGACAGTCAGAGGAGCCAGGTGCAGCAGCTGCCGTACGGGGAGGAGGAGGGTGCGGAAGAAGCACGGGCAGCGCTGCCTGGATCACCACCTTGCTGTGGCTGCTGCTGCACCCTGCTACCCGGAGCCCCTGCAGGTGTCTGTCAGTATCTGGGGTCACTGACCCGGGAGGGGGCCAGCACCTTCCTGAAGCCCCAGCGACACAACGGGCGCATGCTACGCCAGCCTCCTCCAGCCCCGGGTTCTAACCAGGCAAAGGATTTGTTTTTTACACAGATACTTTCAGTTGTCTGGATTATTTTTGGACAACGATTAGTACACTTCCCCAGCCCCTCATTCCCAAATCAAAATTTCCTACTGTGGTATGTCTCAAAAATCCCTTTGTAAATATCTTTTATGGAAATATTTACTCAGCACATTTACCAAAGCCATAGGATTTAAGAAGATAAAACAGATTTAGGGTTTACACAATGCAGATTCTTTCTGCAAATACTTAATAAAAATCACATGTGTCCAGAACAAGCCAAGTTCCCGAAAACTGCCAAGATCTAGATGTCTGAGGTCAACCTCCTGGTGCACCCCAATCCCGAGAAGCCTTCAGGGCTTGCCCTCCCCCAGCTCACCCTCTGGGGTGACCACCTGGCCTGATTTCCTAGGCATTATCACCCAATTAGCATAATCGTCTAACAGGAAGCACCCAGGGTCTAAATTAGAACACAGACCTTCTGTCCATGATGGCTTTCGTTAACCGAATGTGGACTTGACCTGCTGCAGGCTGAGAAGTGTGAGTAGCTTTTTCTGTAAAAGGCACCTTGCAGGGATAAAACTGGAGAAGAGGTTAAGCGTCTTTTACAGGCCCGAGTCACTGCGGATTTACAGACTTGGAACCTGTACAGCCTGCGGTTTGGAGTGAGCTGCGTAATGACTAATCCTTCTCCTTACATGAACATTTGAAAAGAAACATGTTTAGCCTCTGGAACTGAAATTCCTCCCTGAGCTGTGTTAAACAGAGAATAAAATTAAAGTACAACGTTTAAAGAGAATAAAGCACATGAGGCAGATACACACGGGAAAACCGACCTCTTCTATACTGTTTTAAACATCCAATAAGCTGTTAAAATGCTCCAAAAGTAGCTAACAAATAAAAAGTTACTACCAATTTCACAGACACTTATAATAACCCATTATAAACTAACCTCATTTTAAAAACCTCTCAAAGTTAGGAATAAAAGTGGGTCAGGAAACCAGAAAGAAAAATGTTTCCCATTACTGCTGTCAGCTCCATATTAGAGTCTCTGACAAATTATAAAATTACAATATTTGGCCCATTTTGTCTCAGAAAAACACTGCTGGCGTCTTAAAGCATTCTATTCCATTAATCTTACAATGCTAGCAGGTATCCCAGAGGGACAGCTGCCTCCACAGAACCCAGCTTCCACGCTCAGGTGCTTGGTACTAACCACATTCCCTGAACAGCTCAAGCCCACAGCAGAGCCAGGAGACTGAGTCACAGACTTTTGACCTGGACAGTGGCTTGCGTGAGCTATGCCTGGCAGCTGCCCTCAAATGCCCACTTGATCAGCGCCATGTGGTCAGGAGAGGCCTGGCCCACCTGCATGCAAGTCTTGGACATTCCCTGGCACCAGGGTAACGAGCTGTCCCCACAGTACCCCAACACGAGAGTTGCCTCACCTTTCGCTGTTTTTCTTGCCGCTGGAGGAGCTGCTGGTGGAGCCTGTGCGGTTCCGGCCTCCCTTGGAGTCCCCAGAGCTCTCCCGCCGGCCACCAGGGGACACTCGTTCTGAAGAGCTGGTCCGCTTGATGCTGCTGGAAGAGGTGATAAATGACATCCTTCATGCTGTTGTCCTACTTCCCATACTCTACACAGGACCCCAGCCCTCCACATGGACCCGAGAGACACACGGGACCCCAGCCGAGCCACACAGAAGGAGCACTTTGGACTCTTCTTACCACAGGGGACACAGTGAGTGTCACATGGAATCGAGGCTTCTGTCCACACAGAAAACTGAGGCATGGGGCATGGCCTCCCCTGGTGCTTGACCAAGGTGAGGTCACCCCCAGCAGACAGGTGACAATGTCTGAGATAGTAACAGTGGACACACCTCAGAGTGACTGCTACCAGCCCCCAGGAGGTACAGCTAGGGACACAGCCACATGTTCTACATGGCTAGATGGTCACGAGCAAGGAATCACCTAGCTCCAAGCACCAATAGCGCTGCTGCCGAGGAGCCTAGGCCTAAAGACACACGGGACAGCAAGGGGTGCCAGTGGCAGGGTGAGGACATGAACGCCTCGCCACGTGCACAGTGCCGTCCTTGCAGGTAGTGCCCAGCTGGGAAACAAAGCCATCAACCTCACACCACCTCCCCGGAGGACCGGTGTGGCTGGCAGTGGGAAAGAGGCCTGGGAGGCTTCCTGCAGCTCAGGACTCTGGGGAAGGTCACACAGAGGGCTTGGATGTGCTGTAGTTATCCAGGCCAAGAGCCTGCCTCTGGGGAAGGGAAGACCACAGGCTCGGAGGAGCCAGGGTGCAGGGTGCAGGGTGCAGGAGAACCAGCCATTTTCCTCTCCGTGCACACAGTGGCTGTGTGCTGCATCCCCAGCCCCCAGTACTACAGCAGGTGGGGACCAGGCCCTGGAGGTCGATGCACAGGGAGGCTGAAGCCCTCGTGAATGTGACTGCCTTTGTAAAGGGAGCACTTTGGCCTCTTCCCAACACAGCACAGTGAGAAGGCGCTGGGCTGCGGCCCAGGAGCCTCGCCTGGAGCTCCTGTGTTGAGCTCTGAGCGGGTGCAGGCTTCTGGGGCTTGGAACCCCAAGACATACATTTGTGGGGTTTACTGGCCACACTGCCGCTGCAGCTCCAACTCACTGCGACAGAGCATGGCGCAGCTGTCCACAGCTGTCCTGCAACGTTTTCCTTATCTCTACCCCAAGTGCTCTTGAGCTCTGGACGTGGTCACTTGTAGCTCTGCACAGCCTCATGCAAGCTCCACACAGACTTATTAAAAAGGACACCCCAGGGCTGTGGTGGAGGGCAGGAACAGGCACAGGTCTGAGACTCGTCTGCCTCTTGCTGGGTGGCTTGGGACAGGACTACCCATCTGGTGGCGTCTGAGGGCCATGGAGTCGTGGACAAGGAGGTCATGAAAGGAGATAAAGGCAAGGGAGGAGAGGGGCAGACAGCAAAGGCAGCTGAGGTGGGGGTCGGTGTTGTGGGCCGAGAATGGGGTGGGGAGAAGGTGGGGGTTGGGGGACCACAAAGGGAGCGTGGGAAGTGAATCTCAGAGAGGAGCGGCGGCAGCTCAGGACATGAGGAACGAGACAGTGTCCAGGCGCTCATTTCCTGGGACTGAAACCCAGAATGCCCCGCTCCGGTGCCCCCATGTATGCCCTGTGGCCGCCCCTTCCGCAGCCCTGACTCCTTCAGCCCCTCACCATCTACTCGTCCTGTCTCTTCCTTCTGTTCTCCCTTCAACCCTTCGCCTGTCCAGTTAAGAGCAAGTTTTTAATCGCCTGCAGGTGTGTGGTTTTTGAAAGCTCACCGCTGGGGGTGAGCAAAGTCAATAAAGTGACCAGGGACACCGATGTTTCAATGTCCTTTCAGCAAAGTCCCTTTCGTACCTGAGAACGCTTAGAATGTGCACACCGTACAGTAAGCCTGAGTCTGTAGAACGCTCCATTTTTCTTTTCTTTTTTAGATATGGTCTCACTGCATGGTTCAGGCTGGCCTCAAACTCACTACATAACCCAGGCTGGCCTGGAGCTTGGGGCTATCCTCCTGCCTCAGCCTCCCCAGGGCGGGATGGCAGGTGTGCGCCACCACACCCACTGGAAAGCTCAATTTGGAGACAAGAAAAGGCCAGACCTCAGGAGCACAGCACATTTCTGCAACATGTGATTGCAGTCCAAAGATCACAGAAGCTTTTGTGCCAGAAGTTCAAGATTTTCCAACGAGGACAACCACACAACTCAGCCCAGCGGGAGCCTGAGGCTGGAGCTCCGCACGTGACTGCTGATGGGGCCCTGGGGGAGCCCCACGCCGAGCAGCCTGAGGCATCGCCTCTGTGGTGTCCTTGTGGGAGTTCACCGCAAGTTCATGGCAATTTAAAGAATTGTATAAAACACCCTGACAGAGCTGAACAAACCATGACTGTCAGTCAATCGCAGCAAAGCCAAGCCAATTTTCTAATGATGAACAATCATTCTGGGGATGGGGCTGGAGCCAGGGAGGAGACACCAATGCCAGGGCCAGAGCAGCCACTGTCCACAGCTCATGTACAGGCAGCGCTGAGGTCCTGCTGGGTCACTGAAGCTCGCCATCCTTGCCGAAGCCACCACCCTCATCTCATAGGGGTAGGGAGGATGATTTCTAGGATCTGATGGCATCTGTGGGAGTCTGCAAACCACTGGGCTGATGACTGCTCCCACACACAGAGGCACGCAGGTGCACCCACCCCCCCACATACACACACACACATGCACACACACACACACACACACACACGCTGCCTTGCACGCCCCACCAGCCACCTAGCATCAGTGATGTACAAAACATTGAAGTGCTGACTTTCAAGGCCCTCGTGGGCATCCACAAACCCAGCGCTGATCGATAATGAACACGGGCACACGACCTAAGTCTTGCCACATGCCAGGCCCATGATGGCGGACCTTTTAGAATTTCCAGTGATAACAAACAGCAGGCTGGGGCGCGTGTGCCACATGTGCCACAGGTTCACCACTCATGCGCCAGGCCCTGGGTCAGACCGTGAAGCCACTCTGTTCAAACTGGAGATTAAGGACTGCAGGAGCAGCCAGGGTTCCAAAACAGAGCTGGGGTCCCTGAACCTTGGAGTGGAGCCACTCCTCCTCCTGCACAGGGATGCCACAGGCCTGTTCATCTGCACACAGAAACAAGGCAGAATAAACACAGTAGTCAAGGCACAGGAAAGGACTTCACGAAGCTTCCGGAAGCTGCAGGACGTGCACACGGACAGCCACTTTGCTTTGCACACCAGACTTGGGCCTGAACCCCCCAGGGCCCTCTCGAGACATTTGTCATTCCCACATTTGCATCAAAATGTTTTTAAAAATCTCACTATTGTCCGATTTTCAAAGGGAAAAAAAAGAGGCTTCTTTTTGAGAGCCAAGGGCACCCGTGAATTAAAGAGGATTTACTAGGACTCCAATGAGGGAGGGGAAAGAAAGCTTGGAGACAGGCATTTGCAGCCAGGAGGGCAGGCAGGGAGTGTGGCTGGCGGCTTGCTGCAGGAAGTCTCCCTAAATCAGCCGGGAATATCAAAGGAGTTATGTTCCCTCTGGAAAGGCAGCAGAAACAAAGCTCCTTAGTTAATGTGACAGTGGCTGGAGCCCGGCAGTGAGCAGCTTCAAGAGATAATGCAGTCCGTTTCCTAGTGCTGAATGCAGGGGAAGAGCCGCCGGGGCAGAAACGCAGAAATGGCGCCTCTGCCTTTCCCTTCTGTTCTCTGCCCTGAGCCCAACCCCCAGATCTAAGTGCTGAAGATGAGATGGTTCCTTACATCTCATTACACATGCACCAAGAATTCTTGCCAATTTAGATTTCAGACGTGGTAAAATTTCTGCGGCAAGAGTGGTGTTCAGAAACAGGGCCAGCTTTCCCATGGTGGGCAACAACTCACAAAGAAGCGACGTGGCATCTTTCTTTGATCAAGCAATTTGGAGATAAGGAAAGGATTTTTCAAATGTTTACAGAAAGATCCCCAACTCTGGCACACAGAATAGAAATTTCACAGGTAGCTAGCTCTCCCGCACGACCAGAGGTTTCTCAATGATTTTGTTTGTCATGACAGTCAGGTGAGTAAAACTAAACTGAAAAGAATTATCCACTCAACAAACATGGATTAGGCCACTGACCATGCCCTGGGCCAAAGACAGAAGAGTCCCCAGAGGGCCAGGGCGAGCGTAGCTTTTGTTCTGTTCTGCCAACTGTGATCTAGCCAATCCTGATGGCCTATGGTAGCACAATTAAAGACAGAAACACGGGCACACGTCTGATGGCCTTCCCTGGACCAGCAGGACAATATTCCCATCTCTGTTCTGCTATAGAGAACAGACTCAGAACAGGTCAGCTTGACATCTCTGTTTCAATGGATCTGCATAACAAACAAGTATTAAGAACAATTTTAAAGCATCAGCTAAAGACTGATGGTTTTGCCCATTCTTCAAGGCATGCACCCTTCTGGCCCTGACGTCGGGACAGTTGCAAATGCTGTCCTTCTCACAAGTGGAACCGTTTTTCCAAAGGACTATCGGCCATTTGTTTGGAAGCAATAGCTATTTTACTATTCTTTCTCATGCTTGGCACTGAACGCTTCTAAAATAATGCTTTTTGTACCCGTTTTGTCCTGTTGATCTCTATTCTCACAGCTCTGCCTATTGTAATGCTGTCCTTATCAGCTGAGAGAATGCGTGGTTCTTGGGCCAGTGGAAATGTTCTTTATTGTCTATTGACAGCTGCAGCATTCCACAGAGCTAGGTGTGACCTGCAAAGCTGTCCCTGGATTTTTGGGCTTTTTTCCTTTGACTAATGGAAACAAAGCTCTCCCCCAAAGATTCCAAGGCAAGCCCCCAACCCCAACAGAAGTCTTAATTGGCAACACAAAGCACAACCACTGGGTCCTGGACTGTTTCCAAGGGGGATTTTGTTCCTAAGCACCAGCCTGAAAAGCCCAGAGAAAAGAAAACAAGCATAGACCCATGCACGCACCGCAGAGGCCCCAAGTCGGTTCATTTAGAACTCTGATTACTGAAAAGTTCCTGCGTGATGGTAAACATATTTGAATTTACTCCATCACTGTTTTAACCCTAGTACTCAGAATGCCCTGTTTGCTTCTTTCTGCTGTCAAAATTCTCTGCTAATGAGAGATCTGTAGGAATGTGACCACAGGGTCCCAGTGAGACACTGCCACTCCTATTTCCAGTTTTGGACCTGAAGGGGATTCTGACCAAGGAGGGAAGCAAGGCAGAGAAATCTAGAAAGCCATGCAGCTCCAGTGAGCAGCTCGACGCCGCCAAGGCTTAGCAGATAACCGAGTGGATTACTCTGTAAACTGAAAAGAGTCTGCGGAGGCCTCGGACTTCCTGGAGAGAGGGCTGCAGCTCCTGTCTCGGTGCCAGGTGCCTCTGGACCACAGGTGGTCCTGACGTGGCTGTCCCATAAGGGTGGCATGAGACAGGCTCACTGGGGGGCACAAGCTGCCTGACCGGACAGTCTCAGATGTTCTGCTGGGGTTCAGCCTGGAAAGCACGTACACCAGCAGGACTGAACTGCCGTGCTTCCTCCACCCCTGGTTCTCGCCTTCCTTCCTCCTAAGACAGCAGAGAATATATGCTGCCCAGGAGTCCTTTGGATCTAGGGACTGGAACGCGGGGCCTGCTGCTCCACATGGAGTCTGGCCCACAGCCCTGTGAACGGGTGGTTCTGTCTCTCAGAGTCACAACCAGCCAGGAACCTCGGCCCAGTGTGGCGCTCATTCTGGACCAAAGCTCCTGCTTCTAACCAATGGCAGAAGACTGGATGGGCATAAGGTGGGCACCTTCTAGGCTGTGGTCACATCAGGCACTTTTCAGGTATAGGCATCAGGCAACAGACAGACAGACAGACAGACAGACAGACGGACAGACAGACAGAGCTGGGGGCCTCTGTCTAGCCCTGGGGCCTCTCCCTGGAAAGCATGTGTCACATCTCTCAGCCTCAGCTTTCTCACAGGCGAAACAGAGATATCGATATGTACCTTGCCCAGCTGTTTTGAGGATCAGACATGTCATGGCACCAAGCACCTGGATCTTAGCTTAAGTAATCATCAAAAATGATTTCTACCATGACTACTGACTTACGCAGGGGTGAAGCCGGGCAGGGTGGTGTTCACTTGTAATCCCAGCCCTCCGAGCCTGAGGCAGGAGGATCATGGGAATTCAAAGCCAGGCTTGACACAGCGAGACTCTGTCTCACTCCTGCCCACACTGACAAAGGTGGGAGCCCCCGTCACCCTCCTCATCCCATTCATGTTCTATGGAAAAGCCTCGGGTTCTACTTGCTCCTGTGGGCAGCGGCAGAGAACTCATCCCCGACCCTCATCCTGCCCTGAATAAACATTTCACATATCAGAACTCCAGGTGCAGTCTCCTGAGAATTCTCTAAGTCATGGCAATGAGTCATAAGAGGGCTAAGAAAGCCATAGACATGGTGTCGCTGCACATCAGCCTTGCCATGGGCCAAACTGAGAGCCATCTCCAAAGTCAGAGACCACGGACGCCTGCCCCTTGTGCTCATAAAGCAAATGAGCCAAAGCTGGAAATCCTCTCCACAGCTCAATTTTCACTTTCCTTTTCACTTTAAGGTTCTTTTTTCTTTCTTGTTTTCTTTCATCCAGGCACAGGGCACATGGCTCTGTATCAGAATATTATTCAGCCTTAAAGATGAGCCCATCCTATGCTAGGACACAGATGGCCTTGAAGACGTGCGGCTAAGCCCACAATCCAGTCCTGAGAAGACCAGCACACAGGACGCCCTCATCCAGACCGCGGGAAGGGATCAAAACCACAGACACAGAGAGCAGAGATGCGGCCCCAAGGGCCATGTTTAAAGGACAGAATTTCAGCTCCACAAAATGAAAAAGTCCCAGCGATCTGCTGAACAACGTGCACACACCTAGCACTCCTGTGCAAGGTACTTAAAAATGCTGAGCTGGCAAATTGAACCTTATGCTCTTTTTTAACTCCCATCATAAAACGTAACTGAAACCTGAATGCCAAGTAACCTGAATGCCAAGTAACCTCACAGGTGGATGTACAGAAGGCTCCTCCACTGCCGCCAGCTAGACTCCAGGTCATTCTGGGTTGAGTATCAACACGAATGGTTCAGTTTGATATCAAATAAGGCTAACAATTGCATTTTAAGGTTCTAAAAGGTACTGCAAAAGCCATTTTCAAAAATTCACCAAAAAAATCAATGTATGAAGCTACACAGTAAAGCACAGCACGAATGTGCCCGATGTGGTCAGGTCATTCTGTATGAACTATGTATTTCAAAGATGTCATGAATTCGTTTAACACAGCTGCGGCTCCACGTCTGTTTGTTAGGCTTGACACAATTTACCTGAAACCCAGTTCTACCTCGTCACCCCTGGCCTGCTTACAGTATCCTCCCCCGCTGGACACATGCCTGTGGCTCAACCCTTACCTCGCTGACCCAAAACCCATCTCCCCAAGACAGAACCTCAGAGCAGGCCCAGAATCATGCCAGCCAGTTTTCCACCTGCTCTGCGTCTTTCTGGCCAGTGTATGGGTGCTGCTGCGGCCCTTCCACCGGAAGGCCTGCCCCACAGCCCTGGCTGCTCCTAGTGCACCCCAGGGTCAGCTTCCAAACTGGACAGGGGGCTGACAAGCACTGCAGAACACCTGCCAAGAGCACACAGAGCAGATCCGGGCCCTGGACCTCTGCAGACGTGGAGAAACCACCAAGCAGAGGCCCCGAAAACTCCACCACCAAATTCCAGGCCCCTTCCGGACCAGCTGGGGTTCACAGCACTTTCTGCGAGCGCCCTGGAGACCAAACCAGTGGAGAAGAGAAGATGGCTGAGCAGATTTTCTTCTAAGTCACAGTAGCACCACACACCACACAAACCTCTCCAAGCTCACAGGACTCCCCAGGGAACCCCGGGCACGTCCACAGCCTGAATCCCCACCCGGGCCTTCTTAGTATTTTCACTGACTCTACAATTCGTTACATTCTTAATCCAAGAGAAAGCTGCAGAAGGATTTGCCTGAGTCTTTTACATTATATAAGCACCAGGTGTTTTATTTTCCACAGCCTAAAGAATTTAGAGCGGCTACCAAATGTAACATTTTAATATGTGCATTATGAATTAACCAAAAATAAAAGTTCAAAGCAAATGATCAACTCTCTGGCAGACATCGGTACCTAGAACTCTACCGTTAGGGGCCGTGTAAAAGCTTGAGCTTATCTATTTGCAGATTTTTAACAAGTCAAGGTTTCTATGGCAACCTGCATTTTGCTGTGTTCCAAATATGGATGCAGGAACAACATACTCTTTTTAACCTCCCTGCATAGTCCCAAGTACTTTTATAAAGAGAAACTGAAATAAAAATAGAATAAGGCTTTTTTTTTTTTTTTTTTTTTTTTTTCCTTGAATGCCTTCAGGGCAGTTTTGGCCAGCTGGAGAGGTGTGAGGTTCTGAGGCTGACAGCTTTGTGGAAGCAGCCACTTAAACAACTGAGCTAGGGCCAGGCCCCCTGAAATAAAAATATAGAAAGGTACACTGTGGTTTTAGCCAATGAGATTTCACGGACGATGTATTTAACTCTAAAACAAGAAGAGAAGTCTTTGCAGTTAATATACATAACAGCCACACGAGGAAGGCTGGGCCTGGGCAAGCTTTAACTCAAGAGTTACCCTCCAAGGTAACTGTCCTACCAATTTCTCTCAGCTCATTGAAAAGAATAGTTCATGCTTATGTTGTTTGATTGATCTTATATGTCTATGTATGGTAATCTGAGCAACTACTTTGAAGATAACAAAAAATGTGCAATATAATAACCTTCATTAACTTCCTAGCATATTTTTTCAAATTCTGTATCTTTTTTATTATGTCTTTCAAATTTAAAAAAGGAAAAAAAAAGTTACACTCTTTAAAATCAAAGAAGGGGCTGCTCTCTGAAATCCTGCAGGTGCACCTTCAGCCTACCTTTTGGTTGCTGGCATGGTGGTTTCTTTCCTGGCCCCCGAGGGGGACGGCAGGGAGCCACTGGGTTTCTTTGGTAGCACAGTGCCATTGTTGACAGTGGTTCTTAAAGGCAGGGTCTGCACCAGTGGTCTCGCTGTAAGGCAAGCAAGAGAGGAAATGAGAACAGTCCCAGTGGTAATGGTGACACTTTACAGACGTTAAGCCACGCAGAAGGAAGAGGACGTCAGCTGGAAATGCTAGCAGAAGTGACACAGGTGACACATGGTGCTTGAAGGCAAACCTAGACACCAGCCTCACCCTCTACCCAAAGAGGAACTCGTGGAAAGTCCAGACCTGTGACTTTTCTAGAAGCAGTCTTGGGTTTGGTGATGATGAGTTTAATTTTTTCTTATTTATTTATTTGGCACAGGGTCTCACTAAGCAGCATGGACTCAGAGTGATCCTCCTGTCTCAGCTTCCCTAGCGCTGGGATTACAGGTGTGTGCCAACATGCCCAGTTTTAGTGGCTGGCACGGCACAGCGCTGGTGTGGCATATGGTACTGGGGATTGAACCCGGCGTTTGCACTTGCCAGGCAGGCGCTTAGACCACTGAGCTCTCTCCCCAGCCCCTGGTGATGTTTTTAGATATAATACTGAAAGCACAATCCATGAAAGAAAAAAAAAAAAAACTGACAATGTAGACCTCATTAAAAATTTTGTGCAAAAGATGCTCAATAAGAATACAAGTCAAACATCAAGAAAAATTTTTGCATCATATATATTTGATAAAAGGCCTGCATAGAGAACATAAAAAGAACTCTCAAAATTCGACAGGAAGATAATAACCAATCCAGTTTCAAAATGTGCAAAAGATCTGAATAGACTCTTCACCAAAGAAGTTATGCAGATTGCAAATAAGCACACAGAAAGACACTTGACACCGTTTGTCCCAAGGAGGTACAAACTGAAACAGGACTCGGTAGCTCGCCTCTCCTGCTAGGGAGCCCCGCATCCAAGCGAAAGGCCCCATGGGCCAAGGCGGGCAGCTACAGGGAGTCTCGCTGGTTCCTGGAGAGAACACAGAATGGGGCGGGGCCCTTGGAGGACAGCTTGGCAGCTTCTGACACAGCTAACTAGGGTCCTCGTGTGGTCCAGAAACTGCTGACACGAGGCATTTACCAAGCTGATCTGAAAACTTCTGTTCGCAAACCTGTACATCAGTATTTGTAGCAGTTTTATTCCTGACTGTCAAAGCCGGCATCAGCCAAGATGTCCTCTGATAGGTAAGTGGACGGACAGACAGACAGACCAGGCCACTCAAACAGTGACTCAGGACTTGAGGATGAAGAGGGCCAGACTGAGCCGCTCGGGGAGGCACAGCTGCAGTCCGTCCCACACAGGGCAGAAGGGGCCCAGGTGCACTGCAGAGAAGCCTGCCAGAGGCCCGCTCAGCCAGCTGACTTCCGTCTGGATCGACAGCAGTGTGGCGCCGTACACGACATGATGCTGCCTTCCTCTCTGAAGCCCACAACCTGAGTCCATCTTGAGAGCCTCAGGCTGGCCCACAGGAAGGGCTGCAACGTGCCTCATCAGTCCCTCACGGCTGTCAGGCATCAACAAGGAATGCTGTCCTTCCACGGGAGCACAGGGAGATGCGGTGACCCTCGATCCTGCGGTATCCCAGATGCATCCCCAAGTGAGGCACTGGAGGTTGAACCAAGGGAGGCCTGACTACATCTCCAGCTCCATTCGCCCGCCTGCCTGTCTCTCCACGTATCACTGAACAAGGTCTTAGGAAATTGCCTGCGATGGCCTTGAACTTTCAATCCACCCGCCTCAGCCTCCCAAGTCTGAGGTTACAGGCGTGTGCCACCACCCCTGCCTAAGGCACAGCCTTTCATTAACAACGATGCGTGCACAGTGGCACAGCCACACCGCCTGAATGTAGACGTGAACAGCAGGGGAAACTGGGTAAAGGACCCAGGCAAATTCTCACACGTGGGGCTTTTCTGTAAATCTAAAACTAGTCTAAACCAAGTTAAAATGCTATCACAATTTATTGTGTTCATCTCGAAATTCTATTTGCCTCAGCTTAGGCTACTGGAATCTACCTGCACATAAGGCCAAATTTTTAATACACAGAAACTTTTCAGTGCCTAAAGCCCAGGATTAGACGTGCTCCTTGTGGGACAGAGTGGGTGGCCCCCTCAGCCCAGGAAGCAGAGACTGCAACTCTCTCTGCCTCAGCCCTGTAGCCGAGGTCTGAGTGTGCACCGGCCAGGCAGGGCGTGAACACCACAGAACAGCACTGGCTCCCAGCCAGGTGCAAGCATCCCTTGGTGTGCGCAGGCACTCCTCCTGCCCACGTCCACACTCTCCCTGCCCACCACATCCATGCCCTCCCGACCATGTCCACAACTTCCCTGCCCATGTCTACAACCTCCCTGCCCATGTTCACGACCTCCCTGCCCATGTCCACAACCTCCCTGCCCACCATGTCCATGACCTCCCTGCCCATGTCCACACCTTCCCTGCCCAGGTCCACGCCCTCCCTGCCCATGTCCACACCTTCCCTGCCCATGTCCACGCCCTCCCTGCCCATGTCCACGACCTCCCTGCCCAGGTCCATGCCCTCCCTGCCCACCACTGCCCAGGAAAGGCAAGGCAGTGGGTGTGGGTCAGCTCAGGGCCGGGTCAGGCATAGGGCACGAGGCCTCTGTAGCCTCAATCAGCAGAGTGACTGTGGCTGGAGGCTTCTACCCACGCTGTGACCCTCCCTCCTTCAGCCAGGAG